ACTGAATATTATAGGCTTAGTCCCATATACAGATCGTGTCAGATCCTACCCTATTCCAAGGAAGATTTTGCATATCACGCTTCCAGATACACAGATCAGCAGCTGAGGAGTCTAACTGACACTTTGTCCAGCCAGAGATTAATCAGATTTCAGCCAAGTTGATTAGCAAGCTCATACCCTTGCATTCAACTAGTTAACTCTCGCCTCTTAATCTGAGCTCGCCTCTTAATCTGAACACCAATAATATGATTTTCGGGATTTTGCTGGCTATCTATAAGCTGATTACCAGGCTGATACCCTCACACTCAGCTAGCCAACACTTACTGATAATATAACCAACAACCAGCAGATTTTCAGAACCTGATTGATTGCCTAAAAGTTGGATTACCTGGACGAATCCCTCGCGTTCAACTAATCAATCTAATATGATAATCTCGCCCTAACTGTCTGAGATTCTCAGATCTTTGCATTCTCCGCAACTAGGGAAGCTTGACGATCCTGCAGCTAGTACCCCTGCAACGATTTTGGTTGGTAGTTGATTGGCAGCTAGTACCCCTGCAACCATTTTGGTTGGTAGTTGATTGGGTAGATCGTGGGTCCTCGCTCCCCAGGAGGGTAAGAATGCAAATTATGCAATAACTCGCAGTATCCCATTTCGATTCCACACTAACTGTGTTTGTTGTTTGCTTGGTTCGAGCCTTGTAGGACTTCATCCCGTGACCTGTAATTTATACATTCGGTTTGTTAGCTTTGAGCCCTACTGGGCTTGATCCTTAGACGCATAGCTAGCAGCGACTGTCTCTATTTAGCAGTCTTAGACCATTAGGCTTTCAAATTGCTGTTTTGTCGTTTTCTGCAGTTGCTGAAGTCATCCCGGGACTTGATCCCATGACCTATAATGTGTTTGTGGTGATCGACTGTTTTTTAGCCTTATTGGGCTTGAACTTTGATCCTGTCGCTAGTAGTCTCTACTTCGTAGTCTTAGGCCTTTCAGCCTTGTTGTTTTGTCTTTTTCTGCCCTTCTAGAAACTGGTAGGCCCGTAGATCTTTCTTTTGTGTGTCCTAGCCTTGAGTGAAGTTGGGTCCCCTTAGTCTAGGTTTCCATTTAGATGCACGTACGTAGATCTTGACTGTTTGGCCGTAGATGTTTGGTGTTTGGACAGTCAGACAGGTCTGTAGGTGGCTGTTGTGTTGTAGGTCTAGGGAAATCGGGTAGAAGTAGGCAGAGGCCGACGAGTTTGGGGTTCTTTTGGTTATTTTCGTTGCTGTTGTTTTCACGGTGACCGTCTTGGTGGAGGTCGCGTTGCTTCCCTGCTGCGCTATTGTGGGCATGTATGCAGGGAGGCATCTTCTCCACGTGCCGTTGGCGCCATAGCCGGGGCCGGTCAGCTCCATTGGTGACAAAGCTGGGCTCCGCACCCAAGTGCTGATGAGCGCTTCCTCATATTTGTGTGCTTGTTGGGGTTTGGTCAGCTGCCATGGAAGCTGCACTTTCAGCGGTTCTTCTTCGACATGGCAGATCTTCATCTTCATCAAGTTGTTCTTCTTCATCATCATGCGAGCTGCACTAGCCTGCTGAGTGGACACTTCATCTTCAGTGGGTTTCTTGAGTGGTTGAGAGAGGTGTGTGGGATTTAGGAGGGTGTGTGGCGATTGGTAGGCTTGATAGGTTGGGTGCTGCGCTCGCCTAGGCCGCGGGTGTCGCATAGCCGGTCAATAACCTCGGTACCACCCACAACGCAATGCAGTGCCACCTCAGCCAAAATGCCACGTCAGCATACTTTCATCATCATGCCTACACCAGCTGTCGCCACAGCTCCCACGCTGTCGCCACAGCCTTCCAGCGGCCAGCCCCTCTACCTGGGCCTCGCTTAATCAAACCACCGCCAAAGTAGCCTTACTGCACATGAAGCATCGTCAGCGCACCAAGTAACAATGTCGCTGGTGCCAGGTAAGCAGCGATCACGAACCAGCAACGATACCAAATTGCAAGGAATATGAGTGTGAACGATATACAAAAAGCCAATGTTGCGAAATCACACAGATGTCCAGGTAGCCGTACCCAAGCAGAGAGTACAAAATGCACCGAGAAACCATCCATATAGAGCAATACAATGAAGTAATGAGCCAATGTTCAAGCCCGCAGGCCACACCAACACAGTATCCAAAGTCACTCCTCTCTCTCTGGCGCCCAGCGCCCAACCTACTCTGCCCGACTATCCTACCTACAGCTGGTTAACGCAACAGGCTCACTTCGACTCTCGAAGACCAATGTACATGACTGTCAACTCCATAGCCGACCTCTCTTCATGCACCAGGTACGTATCGCTTCACCCAAAATCAGACCTTGATTACCCCACACTGCGCCTCCTTCCCTGAAGACCACCAGATCACCCGCTGTAGTACGCTGTACCCCCTGGCGCCCAGCAGCCCCGCTATGGCTGCCTGCGCCCTGCTGCCGTGCAGCGCCCCACTTCACCACTACGCGCCCCGTCAGCGCCCTTGGCAGCAGCGCAGCATCCAGCGATAGCACAGCAGCACTTTCGCATTGCCTGCACTGGCCAGCTGGCCAGAATGCCTGGCCTGGACTGCCCTGCTCCTTTTGTGGAAGTGGCAGCCTCCTGGATGCTGCATGTGGCCTGGCTGGAAGCTACTGGCTGGAAGCTTCCAGTAGCTTCCGGTTGGGCCTCAGACCCTGGGCCCGTTACAGTTGGGCACGGCCTGAGTCTCTGGACTTGGGCTGTTTGCTACATCTGTGCAGGGCTCCCAGGCAGGTGCGTTGGCAGTACTGCTTTTGCCAAGGCCGATGGCCTGCTTCCCAATGTATCGGCCTTGCTCTGTGTGTATGTGCCCAGGCGCAACTGTCAAGGCCTGGACCAACTGTATGACACAGCTTTGTGAGGCTCATCCTCACGCGTCTATCCAACGAACTGGCGTGATGCGAGAGCCAGAATACCCACATATGGAAATGTCGAATTTTGCCTCTGACGAATATTCAGGCCCGCCTTCACTTAGGGGCGGCACTCCGCTTGCTGGGGGCCTTAGCCCAGATCTACGTGACACCCCAGGCCGCGGATCCTGCGGCCTAGGAGGCGGCCGAGGAGGACGACCGCGGGCCCGCGCCGAGGCCATGCAGCCGAGTTTCCGCGCGGCCGCCCCAGGCCTAGGCGGGGGAGCGTGCAGGAAAACGGCGCGCACACGCGGCCATCGCACGTCAGCCTCTAAGGCCCTGTTAAAAAAAAAATTAAAAAAAATTAAAAATTTGGGGGGGTGTTTTTTGGTATGTGAGAAAAAGATTAAATAAATAGAAAAAAAAATAAATATTGATTGATTGATAGTTTTTTTGATTGATTGATTGATTGGTTGATTGATTGATTGATTGATTGATTGGTGGGGGAGGGGTCCTCCCTCCCCTCCCCCCGGCACACGTGCACACACACACACACACCCACACTCTCTCTCTCTCTCTCTCTCTCTCTCTCTCTCTCTCTCTCTCTCTCTCTCTCTCTCTCACACACACACACAC